AGCGACAGAAGCACACTGAACCAATGTCTTCACAGAACACTCTATAATAATCTCCAAGTTCCTTTGCTGAGTAGCAGGACTACAATGACAAATCTGTCTTGCAACAGCCAACGTTCCACACCTCATTACTTTGAAATCTTCCATTTGGGGCCCACTCATCTGACCTGGTAAGTTTTCTTGATAGGGTGTGGCTACCTGGTGGTAAACTGGAAGATGTCACAGGGTACACAGTCAAATAAGGCCAGTCTGCACACCAATCCCAGGGAACCTGACTCCACAGCTTACAACCTTCCCTTCAGAGTGACCATTTATTCCTATCCTGTGTTTTCTATCTTTAAGTCAGTGTCCTCCCAAGTACCACTTTTGAAAAATAATTTTCAAATTATTTTTAAATTCTTAGTAAGCCTGACCACTGATTACTAATGATGTTGCTCACTGATTAGTAATTATGTTGCTCACTGACAACTCAAAAAACTCTGGTGATCAGAAATGATGTTGATCCTCCAAGGTCCTTTTGAAGTGTTCAGGGATCCTACCCTTTTTCAGAGCCTCCACCAGCTTGCCTAATCTATAAGGAGGCATTCCCATTCTGCATTTCTCGGGGTTTCCAGGTTTGTTGAAGTCATACTGGCATCTGGCCAGTCCTCTGGCACAGTACCCTTTATAATGACAGGTTACATATTACATATATTTATCAATAGTTTCATAATTTTACATACAAGCTTTCAAAACTCTTGGGTCGATTCCATCTTAGTCCAATGAAATAGCTGATTTGTTAATTTAGGTTCATTTAGATCTAAAATATGCCTTATCTAGTAGATGTGGCCTGGCTGAAACAATTTGAAAAGGAGAACATTACTAACATCTACTGTAGGAAAGAATAATCCACACAATTCATTTAGAATTTAATTTTCTTTAACCTCTCTTTCCTTAAGAGCCTTGCTATTAGTCTCTATGACTCAATCCCTGCTCTACAGGTCTTTCCCAAGACTTCTTATTTCAAGTCATCAAAGCTCTAACGAAACCTCTCTTCAGCTCCCATACTCACCCGATCACGTCCACCCTTAGCCAGCGAGACATTGGCAACAGGGAAGGAGCAGAGTAAGGAGGCAGAGGAATCACAGTCGGTCCTAAATGAGAATGGGGATGATACTCTGCTAAGCTATAGAGTCTGCCTTACCTGTCCGCACCCTCGTTGGTCCCCTAAGGCTCCCTCCTGTCCCCCACCCCTTGTCCCAGAACAGGTACCTTTCTCTTTGTTACAGAGAGAGACGGAGAAGAAATGCAGCCAGGAGATTCAAGACACCAGAACATTTCTTTCATTCTCTTCCTGCTATCTCAGCTTACTTCCTCTCATTAGAGCAGACATTCTTCTTGTGTGTGTGTGAGGAAGATCAGCCCTCAGCTAACATCTGCCAATCCTCCTCTTTTTGCTGAGGAAGACCGGCCCTGGGCTAACATCCAAGCCCATCTTCCTCAACTTTATATGGGACGCCGCCACAGCACGGCTTGACAAGCGGTGCGTGCCCGGGATCTGAACCCGGGCCGCCAGCAGCGGAGCGCGCGCACTTAACCGCCACCGGGCCGGCCCTAGAGCAGATATTCTTAAACGGGAATCTATGGACACTTAGTTGAATGGTTTCAGACTTAAGTGTTTCTAAAACTCACTCGGGGAGCTTGATAAAAATGTAGATTCCCAGGTCCCACCCCCAGATTCTGATTCAGTAGTTCTGATCTGGGGTCTAGCTTGAGAAAACTCCTCCAAAGGGATCCACAGATGGTCTTCAAGAGGCTCATGAACCCCCTCAAATTGTAGGCAAACTGCATATGGGAGCGTGTGTGCAGCATATGCATGGGCGTGTATATACATTTTTATGGCAGAGAGAGCCATAGCTTTCATAAGATCCATGCCTCCTAAAAATTTAAACACCTCTGCCTTAGAAATTACAGCTCATGACAAAGGACTCAGGGCAGGAAACAAAAAAAAAAAAGGACTTTGGACTATTGATAATAATGTCCTTATCAGCATCTCTCGACTGGTCCTATAGCCTTTGTTAAGAGAAAGGGAGACAATTTGGTAGGATCTGTAAAATGGGAAGGAACTGAGACCCCAGGTAAGAAAGCAGGATTCTGGGAATTTATGTACCCAGTCACCTTGTGTTTCCATAATCATTATTACATGGCAGACTCTTGGGCGTGGGAGAAAGTAATATAAAAGGCAAATTGCTGCTTTCCTAATGTCTCCTCTGCTGAAGGCCACGTTAGTTCCGAGATGACCTAAGGGGTTGGGTTGTCTCAGAAGTCTACAGTGGCCCTGAGAAAGGACTGATCCAACCCAAATAGAACTGACCCTAACAATGACAGTCTAGAACAGGGTTTTTTTTTCTCTCTTTTTAACCAGATTTCAGTAACCAGAGGTAGAACTAGGACCCTGGAGCCCTACCAGCCCAGACGTGCTCCAGCCTTGGACTGTAAAAGGTAAGAAGTCATACAAGCACACTGGGCTCAAGTTTCCCCCTCTGTAAATGGGAGGGATGAACTGAATAAGCTCGAAGGGTCCTTGCAGCGATTCTCTCACAGGATTCCTCTACTCTGACAGAAGACCTTTCTCACCTGTAATGGAAATGCACGGGGCTGAGGTGGCTGACTGTCGGCATGTACGAATAGTAGAAGGAGCCGTAGAGGAAGACAGACACCCAGAGCAGGAGGAGGATGGTACAGAACAGCACCCCAAACTGCAGCAGCAGCTTGCGGGCACGGCCTGCCAAGCAGTGGCCCACCTCCTGGGCCCATAGTAAGGTAGGTACTGGTGGGTCATTGACCATGGTGGAGAGCGCAGAGGGTCTGGCCCCCAGTTCAGGCCTTGAGTTCCTAGCTGCTCTGCCACCTGGACGCCACCCCTGGCCATGGGATGAAGCAGCTGGTGGTTCCTGGAAAAAAAAACAGAAAAGGGAAAAGAATGGCTCCTTTCCTGGGGGAAGGTAGGGACAAAAAGGAGTTACTGGACTGGCTTTGAAGAACCAGAGATAACAGGACGTAGCAAAGTCTTTGTTTCATATGGCCTTTCTCCGAATGACTGTTTCTCAGCCAATTATCCCTTCCTTTCCTCCACTGGGCTCTCTTCGCCCCCAGCGCCAGAGCTCCTCAGGTGAACTCGTCCTCCAGCAACCTGATTCTGGGACAGGCCACCTTGACACTCATTCATAGCAATATATAACATACAGAGGATGAGCACGCTGAAATTCTTACAAGGCGCTTTTACACACAAGGTGACAGTGAATCCACACTGCAAGGTGGCTGCACGGAGAGAATGCACCGCTTGCCTAAGGTCGCACGGCCCGACTCAAAGCCAGCAGCCTAAGCGCAGTCACAATTGCCTCCCCAGCTTCTCCCCTCCGCCTCGTGCTGCGCTGGCTCCCCGACGGGGAGGGCGTCCCGCAGCCAATGGCCGCTCCTGGCCAGCCCCCTCCGGATCGGCGGTGGGCGCGGCGACCGGACCCCCCGCTAACCACGCCACCATGGAAACCAGCCCGCCGCCGCCGGAGCTCGGCAGACTCACCAGCCTGGAGCGCTGCCGGAGCAGCTGCGAGAGGGAACTTCCGACTCCCCGGGGCGCCCCGCCCACTCCCGCCGGCCGCCGTGGGGGCGGGGCCTCTCCCAGGGGCGGGGCCCGGTGCAGGGGGCGGGGCCTGTCCGGGTTGCGGGGTTCCCACGTCCGCGCGCTTCGCGCTGTCCATTTCTGCGGTTCGTTACCTTCCGGTTACCGTGACCAAAGAGGACAGGCGCCTCCCTCCAGGCCCCGTGATAAGTCCCAGAGCATCTATGAGTCAGCACCATCCCCTCAGCCCGCCACTCGAGGCCGCAATCACAGCCCTCCGCCCACACTGTCACCACCGGCCATTTAACCCCCGGAAAAGGGGAGAGAGGCGGCAATCAGCCAGCGCTGGTTTTTATCGGCCATGGCTCCTTGGACCTGCAGGCGTGCAGCGCAGAGAGCGTTCGCTCAGAGAACGCTGCAGTCTGTGGGACCCTGTGCATCTTGCGCGTTGCACGGCGCGCTGGCTGTCCCCTATTCACAAGAGTGGTAGCATTTCACCTTCGTGTTCTATCTCCATCTTTTACGATGCGTGACCGACCTCCTCTGACCCTAACTAGACTCTCGCTCAGAGTCCCCACAGCGCATTATCGTGGCAGACGGCACCTCCTATATTTAATGTCTATTCACCCCCAATAAGATCCCTCAGAGGGTAAGGTCAGTGTTGTGTACATTTTGCATTCCTCGCAGCACCAAGTACAACACTGCAAGCGTGGGAGATACTCTCAAACCAATACCCCCACCTCCACCCAGGAATCCCACCTATTTCCAGGAACACCTACTGACTGTCCCCACAATGCCCCCTACCTCTTCTTTGTCCGATTGTTTGATCTGGTCTCTGCACGCCTCTTTTCCCCCAGCTTCTCCTTTTTCTCCTTGGTCTGCCATTTCTTTAGATATCTTCTTGACGTACCTCGCTGCCCCTGGATCCTCCAACAAGTCACTTGTGGCTAGAACATGAAGTGGTGATCTAGAAGCTGATACCTGTGGCTCATCACATTTTCCTGGATATGGGGAATGGAGGGTCCCTGGGAGAGAAATGAAGATTCAAGTGGTAAATGCTGTGTCAGAGTAGGAGGGGGTGGGGTGACTGCCCGGCTGATGTCAGATTTTCAAATGAGCAGGGTCCCCCGCAGCCAGTACAGACTCCACTGCAGGGGCTGTCATGGGTCCAGACCACGTCATTTGAGGGGGGAGTCTGCCTGGGCCTCAGCTCCTTCCAGCTCCTTTCGGGAGGGCTCTAGCCCAGACTCAGGATGCCTGCAATGGGGAGGGGCAGGTGGTGAGACAGCAACAGTGGGGGTGAGCACAGGGGCTGCAGGCAGCAGCCAGGCTCCCCCACTGGCCAGGCAGTTGGTATGCTCCAGGATGTTAGCAGCTCCTTCCAGCATCCTGCATCCTTCAGGTACCAGCCATCTGGGCAGTGCTTGAGCTGCAGAAACTGGGACCAGCCCTCCACAGACCTCTGACCTGACCCTCTCCAGTACCCTTCTCTGTATTAGCTGCTTCCGCTGCTGCATCAGATAGTTTCAGCTGTAACTCCCTGCAAGGTGGGGCACCCATCTCAAGCAGGTTTTGGTGCACCCCACTGACGCTACTCCCCAGGGCTGCCGCTGCCTGTGGCCTCAGGTGAGTAGGGAGCATCCTGCTTTTCTCCCATTGGGGCTCAAGGGGGCAGGAGGGGGTTATGTGCCCTCCTCATTAGGGTGGGGCTTTTTCTGGTTGAGGCTTTCAGAGCTGGGAACACATGGCTTGAAGGGCTGAAAAGCCTTAGGTCTTTCATATATGTAATGATCTGTGGCCCAGGCCATGTGGGAGTTTGGGGAACATCTCATCCCACCCTCTCCATTTCCTCAGCTGAGGAAGACAGGGATGGGCAAGGCCACTGGTGGATGAGGATAAGAGCGGAACAAAACATGGGGGCACATGACCCCAGACTTGCAAAGGTTGGTAAGGAGTGAGCATGGAGGGCAGCCTTCAGCTGAGATTGTGCAGGTCCCCTATCATGCTCTCAGCTGTACCTCTCTTTTCTCCAGGATGAAAGGGGAGACCCCTGTGAACAGCACTATGAGTATTGGGCAAGCCCGCAAGATGGTGGAACAGCTTAAGATTGAAGCCAGCTTGTGCCGGATAAAGGTGGGTGGAACCCTGGAACCCATTAGTTGGCCAGGTTGTGCTGTAGGTTCTCAAACCTCAGGATAAGAGATGTTTTCTTTCCTTGACTCCCTGAGATCAGGCCCTGTAAGCAGAGCTGTCCTCAGTCTTCTATGGGGGATGAGGGAAAAGAAGACTGTCTTAAGGAGCCCTAGAGATGGCAAAAGATAACCCATTTGAGGAGGGAGGCTGCAGTCCCTTTCAGGGGTTCTGGCTAACAGTTCCCCTCCTGGCTGTGCCCCAGGTGTCCAAGGCAGCCGCAGACCTGATGACTTACTGTGATGCCCATGCCTGTGAGGATCCTCTCATCACCCCCGTGCCCACTTCGGAGAACCCTTTCCGGGAGAAGAAGTTCTTCTGTGCCCTCCTCTGAGCTGCCCTGTTCTTCCTCACAACGCATCATCTTTCCCTCTCCTGGGCCCTTTCTTAGGTCAGTAACTGTCGTGAGCCCCTAAGGATTCCTGCATCACATTCCTAGCCCTTGTCCAACCCTGTGAGGTTATCTGAAGCACAAGGCCCTCCCTCACCTGTCTGTTGACCCCATTTCCTCACCCACTGTGGCCGACGTGACTCGGGGCACCCTTTGCTCCACCCACAGAAGGGCCGTCAGACTCTGCCAGCGTCCTGCCCCCTTCCCTCTGTGACCTGCTGAGACAATGGAGAGAGGGATGGGCCGGGCGCTTGCTCTCAGTCTCACCTGGAGCTATTGGGAGGGTAAAGCCATTTGAAGAATAAAGTCATCCAGACTCTCAGAGGACAGCTCCTGTGTTAGCGTTCTTTGGGGAGAGGATCATAGTCAATGGATTTAGGGGTGGGTGCGGCAGGTGAAAGGCCTGCCATACCCAGGGAACAGGGCCAGTCAAAGCAGGTTAGACATTGTCTAGGATCGGAGATCGGCGGGGCTGGGGGATGGCGGGCGCGAGAGAGCGTCTGAAGTGGAAGAACTAAGTTACAACAGACCCTCAGAGGCTGCGGAGAGCATTCACGCACACACACAAGAGGGCGATGAAGTGAAAATGAAAACAGACCGAACAAGTTGGACGTAGGGAGGGATTCCGGAGGGGAGCCGCAGACAGGAGGAACCCAGTAACGGAGGGGAGGAGCTCGGCTCCAGTTCCCGGGAAGGGGCCGGTTTCACTTCTAAGATGGCCGCGCCCAGGGCGGGTCCCGTCCAAGATGGCCGCCGCCATGGGACCGCGCCAATATGGCGGCCCCACGTCACTGCGTTTCCCGTACAGGGTTTCTCCGACAGCCCCATCCTTAAAATGGCGGGCCCAGGCATCCACAGTTCTCAATATGGTCTCTCCCGTGCTCGTCTGGTCTCAAAATGGCTGCCCCTGTCCTCGCCAACTTGATACCCACTCCTACCCACCCCGGAATCGGAAAGTCGACGTCCCCCGATCCAGGTGAAGGCACACGGGCGGCTCGAGCCCAGGATCACGGGACAAGGGGACCCCAGCAAGCACCGCGTAGCAGGAGCTGGTCGCGTGCATCTTGCAAGGGTATGTAGGTTTCTACAGCTTGCTAAGTAGAGGCTCCCTTTGGAGCGGAAACCCAAGTGTGCGGTCAGTGCCCGGCGCCGTTCGCCTCGGGGCGCCGTTCTTTAATCGCCTCCTGGTTTCCCTAGGAATTGGATAAACCCGAAATTGTTCAATTTCGGTTTCGTGGTAGAACTGGGGCTTGCTGTGCTCCCATTTCCCCTTCAGGCTCATTCTGTCATATCCGCCAGAAGCAATGTCCCCGCCCCTGGTGTGCCTGCCACCCCTCATAGTGGTCCAGCATGCTGCCTGGCCAGAGGCCAAACCTAGGTTTAACGTCTCATGAACGCCTCCCAGATTCAAACTTGGTGGTTCATAAACCCCAGAATGCCTTCCCAAATGCCTTTTCCTTCCAAGGTGAACATACGAAGATGGAACCAGGGATAAGGCAAAGATGCGAGTCCCAGGATGTCTCCTCAGGGATTGTCAAGATCCCCCCAAACTCAGGATACATCCCTCTCGGGGGGAGCCTAGGCCTGGTCATGTTTTGTGCCTGGATACCCTTGGTGGGGCGGGGTTGCCCTGCAGTAGTAGGGGGGTGACCTGTATTAGGGATAGCCCATCACCTCCTGCTTCCCCACACCTTCACAAAGGAAGTCAGCGAGGGGAGAGGAAACCAAGGGAATAGAGTGTTCTACCAGGAACTGCACTTAAGTCTCCTATGGATGTCTCCCCAGGCTCCAGGGGTACCCAGTGAACTTGCGGCACCTTCAGAAATAGCAGCTTTCCAGCTGTTGATGAACTTCTGAGCCCTAACAGGTCCTGGAGATCACTTAATTAATTCCCTGATCCTAGAGATGAAGAAACAGGGAAAGTGATCTGGCTGCCCTCCTGAAATGGGGACCCACCCCTATTCTGTTCAGGAGCTGGCTTAGGTCCTTCTTAGTGTTTGTGAAAACTCCTGGAAGGATCAAGTCTATTTTATTTATTTTTTTATTTTTTTGAGGAAGATCGGCCCTGAGCTAACATCTGCCAATCCTTCTCTTTTTGCTGAGGAAGACTGGCCCTGGGCTAACATCCATGCCCATCTTCCTCCACTTTATATGGGACGCCGCCACAGCATGGCTTGCCAAGTGGTGCGTCAGTGTGCGCCCAGGATCCGAACTGGTGAACCCCGGGCCGCCGCAGCAGAGCACGCACACCTAACCGCTTGCTCCACCCGGCCGGCCCCAGATCAAGTCTATTTTAATCCCTGCATCTTGACAGTGTCTGGCACATAGCAGGCATTCAAATACCTAAGAAATGGATTGTACTATACACACTTAAATGGCAAGCAGGCACTTCTTAAGAAGAACCTTTCTCTTTTCCTCCTGCATCAGTGTTGGGCAAATTCCAGGGCAGATAAGTGAAAATTCCCATAGCTCAGATTTGGTAAAAAGCCAGAAGTGTTCAATAAATGTAATCTTGATATTAGCTTTGTTTTTTTTAAAAGGCTCTGCTCAATTTTCATACTCATCAGATGTGGGGTGAATGGCAGCAGCCCCAGTTGGGGGAAAAAGTGGGCTTAAAGGTTACTAGAGACAAGGCATGAGCTATAAATAACCATTTTAAATGATTGATTAGCTCTAACACTGAGTAACTGTAAATATCCTAGAGCATAGGCAAACACTGAAATCTAGGGTAGCCATTAGGGTACAAAGCTGTAAGGCCCTGTAAGTGTTTGAATTTGTGTTTCATACAGAGGGAGGAGTGAGAGCAGTATCTCCATCTATATCACTACTCTGTCAAAACACTGGATGCCATGAGCCTGTGGCACCCCAGCCTTAATAAGTCCCTGACCATTTGGTAGAAATACAATTAGGATCAGTTTGGTGCTAGCAATGCAGTAGTGATTTTGTTAATTAAAGCTACGTTCTCATTCTCCAAATTCACCAGAAAATAAGACCCATCAAACATCATCTGTTGAATGAGTAGGCTTTTTCTCCTAAGTGGTAATTACTTAGGAAGTAATTACTTAGGAATAAACTTATTTGGCTCCTAAATGGAACCTTACATTTAAAGTCAAGCATCCAACTGGTTTTAGGATTGGCCAAATACACAGAGGTCATGAGTTATAATTTATTTCCATCTACTCCAATGGCTCAAGCTCTTAGCATAAACAAGCACGGCCAAGGACCCCCGAGTGAAGGAATGGCTGGCTCCCAAGTGAAGGCATAGTAGATTAGGAAGGGAGTAACAGCCATGCAAGAGGAAAGCCATCCTTGGTTGGACCCAGCGCAACTTGAGGAAGCAGCATCCAAAATAAATAAATCCCCCAATGACACACTCGGCCCCAGTCAGTGCAGCCACAGGAGATAGAGTGAATTCAATCCAAATGGTTATTTATTCTAAAACTGGAAGCTACTGTGCCTACATTTTTGCCAGAATGTTGTAATGAGAACAGGGGAGGAAAAGGTTACAGATGTAAACAATGACACAGTTACATTTTTTTTTAAAATGGTAAAACCCTTTTTTACTGGCCACTTCCAAGAATGCTTTACAGGTTGTGCAAAAACATTTACAGGCTCCATGTGGTGTTTGTTTTTCTCACAAGCTTTTCCATCTACAACAACTACAACAGACGTCTGATAAAACACTAAACAAGTCTTCTAAGGAAAACAAGGCTAGGGATCCCTCCTGTTAATCCACATTTTCCCCCTTAACATTGTTTTTTTCATAATAAAAAGACAGACAGAAACAAAACCCAGACATCTACTGTCACTGTGAGTGATCTCTTGGACCAAACCAACAAGGACTGGCAGTTTCACTCTCCACCCACCTAGCAAAACAGCTTTTTAAAAAAGATGACTTTCTAGTGTCAAAAATTAACAGCAAATACCTCCCCCAACCCTCCCTCCCCACAAAAAAACCCAAAGCGGCTTAAGCTTTGTCCCCCTGGCCCCGAGGGCCTAGCATCCCCAAACCGAGTCATAGACAATAAAAAGATGCTATTCGCTGCAGGACTAAACATTTGCAAAGGGGTGGCAGCTTCTGCCTCAAGGTCAATGTTCTATTATAACATAATCTTGCCCTAAGGGAATTTCTTTGGACTCCAGTTTTTACCTCCTTGTCCTGACACTATGAGCAAAGCTTTCTCAAACTCCCTTAATAATAAAAAGTTAGTGGGTTACAAAAAAGTTCATGCAATCACTTCACCCACTGCCACGCACAAATCCATTTGACGGCACCACAGGAAAGCAGGAGCCCAGAGAAAGGACATCACTACGGGCAAGCAAATGTATTCCCCACCAGCCCCCTCATTCAAGCCTTGGGGTCAGAGGTACTTGTGGAGCAGAAGGGTATGTCACAGACAGGGGCGACTACAGGGCCAGGACGAGGGTCTGCACCTAGCGAAGGGCTGTATGGCAGTAACGGGGGGAGAGGGAGAGAGATCCAATCTCAGCACAAAATTTTAAACAGAGAACTGCCCAGGTGAGGAAATGGAAGTGAAGCATTTTGTAGTAGCACAACCCAGGGTTTTCCCTCACTAGGAAATGCTGCAGTATGTGGTGTCTGCTGAGTAAGCTCTTCGCTGACACAATGCTGAGCAGAAAGATGAATTAAAACTGAAGCTAAATAATGAAAGAGCATTCCCATATCCCACCCATATTCCTGCACCCAGCCACCTGAAGCTGTTTGTCAAGAACTGGGAGGATGTTGGTAAAGTTACAAACAAAAACTATCCCAACTGAAGTCTCTTGGCTAGAGGCCTCTCTGGGAACAGAGGAAAAGCACCCCTGGAGGAATCCCGTTTCCAGAAGTCGGGAAGGGGTGCTCCCTTTCATGCACACGTTACACACGCTCACACTCACACTCTTCCCGTTTCAGCAGCCCCACTGAGCTGCCTCCCACCCCACCCTCCCCCTTTCTATTCACTCTCTACCTGTGTATCAAAAAAACCAGCAGGGCACGGGCCCTCCATACTGTATAAAATAGTTGCTATTCTCAGCACCTGGGCCTGGTAGCCCACACCACAGGATTCACCTATATACATAGCCTGCTGCAGTGAAAAGAATCCTGCTTCGTTTCTGTGTGAGCTGAAACCCTGAGAAACGTTCCTTCTCTTGCACTATAAGAATAGGACACATACTCGAACAGAGATGATTTCAGAGACTTCCTGCCTGTCTCAACTTTGGAAGACAGAGAGTGGAGACTGGCCAATCACAGTCTTCAGGCTGAGGGCTGCAATCCCATTCTTCCCCAGGATTTTATGGAAATTCATTAATGGGTACACAGAGGGTACAAGCTTTGCCCTGCAATCAAGAACAATCCCTATGCTGCCTTGGCCTGGGAATCCTATATAATAGAACTACCCAATTGGTAGTCTCCATGCCTCAGCCAAACAGCACGAAGGCACAGAAAAGTGGAGATAGGGACTCTTTGGCCTCCCAGCCCACCAGACCAGATATCCCAAGAGGGAAAGGTCGGTAAAGAAAATACAAACGGTTAGTTGGTGCAAGTGATTGATAAGAGCCAATCGTTTATTTTCACTGCCCCAGTCACAAGCTCTCCCTCTGTCCCCACTCCTGCCTGCTCTGGAGAGTGCCCTCACATGCTCCCACCCTCTCCTCACCACCTTGTCACTCTCCCTTACTTGGCTGCCAGTCCAGCTGCCTTAGAATGTCAGAAGGGTGACATTTTCGGTTCTTTTCCTGTCTAACTGCAGGGTATAGGACAGGCAGCCCTAAGTGCTGCTTTCTGCACAAATGTTTTTTGATTACAAATATCTAACTAGGTTTGAAATGTTTTATAGAATAAGACAATATTCTTTTCAACAAACTTTAAAAAAAATGTACAGTTTTGTTGTTGGTTTCCACCTCCCCCCTCCCCCACCCC